AGGATGTGGAGAGAAGGGAACCTTCATACACTGTTGGTAGGTGTGCAAACTGGTGCAGCCACTATGGAAAACAGTATGGAGATTTCTCAAAAAATTAAGAATAGAAATACCATACAATCCAGCTATTCTACAGCTGAGTATTTATCCAAAGAACAAGAAAACATGAATACCTAAAGACACATGCATTCCTATGTTCATTGCAGCATTATTCACAATAGCCAAGACGTGGAAGCAAACTAAGTGCCCACCAGGGGACAAATGGATAAAGAAGATATGGTATACATACACAATAGAATACTACTCAGCCATAAGAAACGATGAAATCTGGTCATTTGTGACAACATGGATGGACCTTGAGGGTATTATGCTACGTGAAGTAAGTCAGAGGGAGAAAGTCAAATACCGTATGATCTCACTCATAAATAGAAGATAAAAACAACAACAAACAATCACATAGAGAGAGATTGGATTGGTGGTTACTAGAGGGGAAGGGAAGAAAGGGAAAGGGGTGATTAGGCACATGTGTGTGGTCATGGACTGTAATTAGTCTTTGGGTGGTGAACACGATGTAATCTACACAAGAATCGAAATACAATGATGTAAACCTGAAATTTATATGTTATAAACCAATGTTACCACAATACAAAAAAAGAAAGATCACTGAAATCTAAAATAACAAATACTAATTGCAAAATATGGAAATGAAACCCCATATTTTACCATCCTAATCCCACAATTAATTACCTTCGTGACATTAGGCGAGTTACTTAACTAGTCTATTTCTTCATGATTTAAAATAAGGTGCTAACACACTTGCCTTAAAGCCTTGTTATGAACAATATCTCTTCTACGGTATTCTCGCCAAAATCCGTAACCTCACTTTAATCATGAGAAAACATCAGACAAATCCAAATTGGGAGACATTCTACAAAATAATTGACTAATTCTCTTCAAAAGTGCCAAAGCCATGAAAGACTAAGGAAGTACCATAGATGGGAGGAGACACAACTAAATGCAATATGGCATCCTGGATTTGATCCTGGACCAGGAAGAGACTAGTGGAAAAACTGGTAAAATTTGAAATAGGTCTGTAGCTAGTATTGCACCAAGTTAATTTCTTGGCTTTGACCATTGTGTTATGTAAGAAGCAGCTTGGTGAAGGATATACAGGAATACTCTGCACTAATTTTGCAACTTTGTATATCTAAGATTATTTTTAAATAAAAAATTTGAAAAAGAGAGCAATTTTTTAAAAAGCCTTGTTGTGAGAACTATATACAAGATTAAAAATTTAATACATTGCCTATTGTTTTGAAGGCATGATTTCTTCATTTAATGGCTAGACTCAGTGGCCTTTAACAGTAGGAATAGTATGCTAAGACTGGTCAAACCCAGGTTGGGACAGCTAATAATAAACCGCGGTGTTCAACTGTGATAAAACGTGGACATTTTATACTTCAACTGAATAATTACAAATATTCTTGCAAAAACCTACTAACCATCAGTATTTCACTCTTTGCAAAATACAATCATAAGTTAGTGCTTAAAGAAGTATGGATTCTGTGTTTGGCCAATGATGACAGACTTAAATTTACCTAATGCCATCAGCATTTAAACATAACACGTCAGATCTTCATTCCTCTGACTCTGTGACTACTCTCATCTTGTCAGACTCGTCAGATAGTTTTTGTTCAAGCAACACCTGGCAAAATAAACCACTTTCATATAAATTGTGGACATCTTGGAATAAGTATGGCTTGATACACCGTTATTCCTGTTTTCCGTTTTTATTTTAAACAAGTCTGCATCTAGCCTTGAGGGGCGAACGCTTGCCTTTGAGATAACAAAAGGTCCGCAATGTCAAGCTTATTACCCAAGATTTTGCTTTTTAAGAAAACACTAAAACAACCTACGAATCACAATACTCCAGCAGTCACAGTTCCCAACAAAGCACTGCCATGGCTCATCCACTTTTGCTTCTCACTTCAGGGAGTAATTGAGCAGCTAAAACAAATAACCAGCAACTTGGCTATTTCTTAGTTTTTGATAGAATCATCCATATGATAAATACACATTTCTTTCTATTATACTCTACTCTCGTGAAGTAATTTTTGTTTTCTACAAAGGTTATGAGATACCATAAAAATGTCTAACACATATGGTTTAAGAATCCAATTCTTCCTTCACATATTTCTGCACGTGTTCACAAAATCTCTTTGACTTCAAAGGAAGCTCTTCAAGAGAAAAAGAAGATACATACAGGAAAAGTAGCCATAAATTTTTAGTAGTCCTTTTCTAAGGCCATTTTAAGAACCACACTCTGGGACACGTATTTCTCTCAGAGACCTAAAATATCACAGATGATATTAATGACTATGCATTTATATGGAGAGTGATGCTTTAAAACTTTATTCTGGGCCTAAAAGTGATATATCTTCAATTTAGAACATGTAAAAAATATGGAAAGCTTAAAGAAGAAAATTTAAATCACTTTTAATGTACTATTCAGAGAAACCAAAGCAAAACAAAAAAAGTTAAGAATGGTCATTTCCTTCCAGTCTTTTTTTTCTTGTGCATATATTTATATAAATATTTATTTACAAACATAATGTTGTAATTACATTATGAATGCAATTTTTTATCTTCTCTCAATTGGTCTTTCAAAAGACTGCATTAGTCTTTCAAGCTATCATGTTTAATGACTGAAAATTATATGCAAACATACTTAAAAAAAATGCTTTCAGGGGCCAGCCCCAGTGGCATAGCGGTTAAGTTCACGTGCTTCACTTTGGCGGCCTGGGGTTTGCAGGTTCAGATCCCAGGCACAGACCTATCACCACTTGTCAAGCCACACTGAAGTGACATCTCAGATAAAATAGAGGAAGACTGGTATAAATGTTAGCTCAGAGCTAATCTCCTTCACACACACACACACAAAATTGCTTTCACTTACGTTTAATTCTTATTCTACTTAAAGCCAAATTAAACGTTTGGGAACACTAATCTGTTCTGGAAATTCTACATCTTGAAACACGCTAGATTAACAGTTGATTAACTCTAAGATAACCATATTCATAAATGCCACTGAAACAACAGTAGAGGTTTAAGAAATTTTTCTTTAGCATTTATAATGATTTAGTGTCCTAAACTTCCCTGGGCAATCGTTACGGGGCTTTGTTTTCTTTTTCTCTTTGATTCTCTATTTCTCACGACATCCTCAACTCTTGAGCTCGGAATGAGAGGAAGTTTGGGTCTAAGGCTTAGTTACTCTGGTACCAAAGGTTTTAATGTGACACTATTAGCTATAAATGTAGTAATCAACCAATTCTAGTTCGGCAGAATCAAACCCTCAAACTTCAAAGAGAGGAACATTTGATGGATTTATGTAATTTTGAATTAATTCTTACCTAACATTACTGCTTGAAATTTAAAATAGCATTTAAACAGCTGTTTTTACAAAGGACTTTCTGATATATCCTTTATCCTTACAAGAATCTTGTGAGGCCCATATCAATGAAGAAAACTTAAGGACAGAATTTATGAGATGATTAGAAAAACAAGTTGAACTTAAATCTTGGTTTTCATAATTAATCTCATTGCTTTACTTTGGCTTCATAATCATGGAGCCAAAGATTTTTCAAAGCTCGAAGGAACATTAATGCGTCAATCAGTCCAACACTTCCTCCACCCATTTTGCTAAAAAAATAAAACCCCGGGGAGATTAAGTGTCTTGTCATGTCACACAGCTAGCAAGTGGCAGACAAATCTCTTGACCTCTGGTTTCCTAACTTCCAGTCTAGCGCTCTTTCCAATACACCAGTTACCATACAAAATCCTCACACTTACCCATTATGACAATGAACATGCAAGGATGCCAGGAAATCACCTAATAATCACAGAATCTCAAGTTTCTCCCTAGTTCCCAGAAGATATCTCCCTAGAGATGTATGGCAAAGTATCTGGCACTGAGATTGCACTAGGAAGACGTTTAGTAAATGTCTGCATGAGTGAACAGGTACACATACACACACAAACACTCGTATATATATATGTATATATTTATAAAATATATACATATATATATATATTTTTTCTTTTGCCATGAGGGTAAAATTGCAAATATTGACGGGACAGGTTGAAGGCCGTGCCCACGCTCTCAGCACGACAGAGTAATGCTAACAGCAGTGCTTCCAAGCACAGGGCAGGACGACGCATTTCGGCAGCTTGTTGTAATTCCTTCATAGACCTGCTACACACGGGTCTACACTGGGGCATGAGGGGGAACCAGACCGGAAGATATACTGACACTTGCTCAAGGCCCACAGTGCCCGGGAGAGGAGTCAAGAGGCTGCATCGACTTAAACCGCCCAATTCCTAACAAGCCGTCTTCTCTAACTTCGCCGCTGGCCCCGTGTCTTGCTGTTAGGGAAAGGAGGGTAAAACAGTAACGGAACAATGAGAAGGTGGGCAGTCAGGGAAAGACCGCCCTCTGGGCTGCGATAAGCTTACTCGTTGGGCTTCCCGTGTTGCCGGGCAACACCTGTTGTGCTGCGAAACCAGGGAGAAAGAGAAAGGCCAAGCGGGACGGGAGCAGCGCGCTCCTCCCATCAGGGGCGCGTTACGTCATCACGCATCCTTGAACGTCGCCACGCTCCGAGTAGGAGGGCAGTCTTAGGCAAGTCGACCTTACAGGAGAGGCCCCTAGTACTGTCCAGAGGAAACGGGAAGAGGGAAGCAAATGGAAGGAGGGAAGGGGGACGAGAAGGACCTAACGGGATGGGAAACTGGCAAGAGAAAGGCCAGCTCTGGTTACCTGGGGAGCGGGAGCAGGGTCGGGTCCTTTATGAAGTGCCCGGATGAAGTTCCAGCACCCACGCGCCTTCCGTGTTGAGTGCAGCGCCATCTTGAGAAGGGCGGAGCCGTCTTGGCTTGAGTGACATCGGCTTAGAGAGCCAGTCCCAGATTCGTACCGCTTTTTCTTGCTGCGCATGCTCCCATGCCTTTGGGGCTGTCCGCTTTGCTGCTGCCAGAGGGAGTCTGGTGTTTGCGGAGCAGGTGGGGTTGGGAACCGGGTGGGACTTAGCTTTAGAATTTCCTCTGGCGACCCAGTCTTTCCTCAGGCTTCCTGGAGGGAGCATCTCCTTCGGGGATATTAGTAGCAGCGTTTTAGGCTGGAAGAAAGTCAAGTAAGTTGCCTTTTGGATCCTAGCCATCCTGCGGCAGTTTTTAAGAAGTTTCTCTAGGAATGGGGTCTCCCCAGTCCTCTTAGAGGGCAGTAAGTGGTTTTTTGAGACCTGTGTGGCCACATTCGTTCTTTCGATCTGCAAACGTTTGTTGAAACCTACCATCTGCTAGGTACTGAAGATACAAAGAGGGACTATCCTGCCTTCAAGAAGTGTAGAAGCCTAATGGGGTAGCGGATAAATGATTCAGGTTTGAGGTGTTACAGAAGCAAACAGAGATTGGGGAGGAAGGGTGGTTAGGATTGTGGTGCTTCAACCTGAAGTCTTCAGAAGATGGTGATACGTGAAAGAAGAAATTTTTTGTTTTGGGTTAAATTGTGAGAACAGTGAACACAGTATTCCTGCTTCTGTTAGTGCACCCCAAAAAAGCTCCCTGACAGATTAGAATATATCAGTAAAAATGTAGTTGGAAGAGATTCGTCAGAATTCTGTAAATGTGTTTTGTTGTATTTATCCATTGAACAAATACTGAAAATTACCACATTACCATAGCGAAGGGTAGGAGATAAATGCAATAAAGATGCCCATACTCTTACAGGAACTGAAATCTAACAGGTTACGATGAAATTTATAAATTAAAACCATACGTTAAAATCTCATGAGTGGTACAAAGTACAGCTAGAGTTCAAGCATAACTGGTGTAATACAGAAATAAACAGGGAAGGAATTATAGGGATGAAGGAAAAAAAATAAGCAACTAAGGAAATCAAATCTCATTCTTCAACAAAACCGATCAGTTTGGTTTTGTCTCTGTCAAATTTGAGGTGCTTGTAGTACTTCCAAATGTGACACCAGTTAGATAGGTCTGGGACTCAGGAGAGAGGTCTGAACTACAAAACAGACGGTAATTGAGACCAAGGAAATCTTTGAGACCACCAGGTAGAGTTTGTGGAATAGAAGTGGTCAGATGATGGAAATTAAAAGGAGTACCCAAAAGATATTTAAAAACCCAAACAATGTGGTATTACTGAAACCCAAGGAAGGAGACCTTGCCAGTGGAAGTGATGATTGATATTTATAAAGAGATACCGAATCTCTTGTAAACATGCAGTTTCATAAATGCCTAAATGTTTTGTACTCATATATACAGCAAAGCATTAAAATACAATTTTTTACAGATATGTTATTAGATTCTATAACCCTAGGAATTAGCAAGATTAGACTTCTGACATCCTCAGTCATCCAGATTGTAAGCTGAAGCCTAGCGATAAGATGTGGGTTTTAGCAGAAAGCTGTCGAAGGGCCTGCCCACTTTATTTCTTCAAGCAGTAATTTTAGCCTTTTATCTACCAAGACTCACATGACTAGTAATATTTTCATGGGAAATATTTCCAAGACATACTCTCATTGAAGAAGGTATATCAGAACATAAGTGTAATCATTTCAATATCTGTATTTTTTTAAGTAAATTATTTTCAGACTTAGAAGTAATAACTTGTGTTGCCCACCACAGCGGTGAGTTGATGACTCTTGAGTGTCACTCAGCCAGCAAGGTTGCTCCTTGGACAAGGACTATGTTTTGTATTTCTTACATTTCCCCTCACACCTAGTATAGTGCCTTGCACAGAGTAGGCACATCTTTTGAATCTAAACTTTATTTTGACAAAGTACATAACTAATTGTCAGAGGTTGATACGCTTTTAACAACCAGAAGGGACAGCTGACAGCAGAAAAGACACTAGACTTGTTAAAAATAAGCTAGTTTTGTCTGCTTTTGTACTTTTTTACAATGGCATTTTGAAACCTTTTGGTGTTGGGGAAAGCATCATGAAAAAGCTCACCATCTTCTGCTCTTCTGAGAAGTGCAGTATGCTCAGCATATTTTAAATGTTAATCCTGAATCTTGAGGAAAAGATGTTATTCAGTGTATCTTTTAAAGGAAAGTTGTGTAATAAACTTTTGAAATGTCTTGATGCAAAATGGTTAGCATTTTAAAAGTTTGTATAAGGCAAACAACGTGGATGGACCTCGAGGGCATTATGTTAAGCGAAATAAGTCAGTCAGAGAAAGACGATCTCTATATGACTCCACTCATAGGTGGAAATTAGTATATTGAGAAGGAGATCTGATCGGTGGTTACCAGGGAAAAGGGGGGGTGGGGGGAGGGTACGAAGGGGGAAGTGGTGTACCCACAACATGACTAACAAAAATGTACAACTGAAATCTCACAAGCTTGTAATCTATCATAACATTAATAAAAAAAAAAAAAAAAAGTGGAGTTCAGTTCTAAAAAAAAAAAAAAAAAGTTTGTATAAGGCAGGTTACTTTGGTTACATGGAAAATTCACTTATGGAATAGTTCGTTTTCCCACAGTGTTGTTTAAATGAAGCACCACTGTATTTACTGGCAATATTTTACCATTGCTATTATTTGGTAAGCCAAAAAGCTTTAGTAAAATGAGATATAAATATTGTATTGAAAGCAGGCTTTAGATAATACTTAAAACCTTTTATAGTCATATATGTACAGCATGCACTGTGTATCTGTATATGCTCATGCTTACAATTTTGAACACTTGTTTAAAATTTGATTTCTCATCAACACTTTTATAGTAAGTTCTGGTAATTTTGCTCTTTCCTTAACATTCCCTGAAAATCCTGTCTTGCTTGAAACAATAGATTAAAACCAGACGGGCAGTTGGGGAGCACTTTCTATTGCAACCATGTGTGTCAGAAGAAAGGATTAGGTTTCCTTGTCCAGGAACATCAAGGGGAACCTCCACCTCTGCAGACACACCTCTGTTCCTCAGTAATGGAGAGTTTATATCTAGTTAGATTTAAATGGGATAAGGAAAGAGTTTAAATCCACTCTTAGCTCTAGTAGTATAATCAGCCTTCAAGTCTGAAAGTATCCAATTTTGTTTCTCTAATTTAATTCTAAGTGTCAGATTGGTATTAGATGCTGATCAAGGTAATGGAGAGTTACCCTACACATTTATTCACTTAAAGAAGAATTTTGCAGAATGCAAAGAATAGATGGCATCTATGTTCAAAACTTACTTAAAGCACAATCCTTTCACCTCTGACCTTTCATTTATATTGAATATGTTTTTCAAATATGGAGGAAGAGATTCTACAATGAAGGCAAACCTTTCTCTTCAGAATGTGGTGTACAACTGCAGTTCTCTGGCCATGCCTCTTATACTGGACTCATTATATGGACCTAAACCAAAGTGAGACAGAGTCTACTCTTGAGTGAGGAAACTTCCAAGAGTCATTAAATTATGTGGGGAAGTATAAGAACGATATGGAGATTTTTGTTTTTCACCTTTGGCTTAATTCTAGTTCTACCCCTCATTTTATAGGTGATGAAACTGGTCCAAAGATATTAAGTACCTTGACAAAAATCACTCAGTGAACAAGAGCAGGAATAGAAAGAACTTGAATCTCCAGACGAGTTCTCTAAGTGACACTGCTGTAAAGCTGAACTGGCTAAGCCTAGGGCTGGTCCAAGCAGGGAAAGCTTTCACCTAAAGACACATCCTTGTGTCATGCTTCAAAGTCAGAGCAACTAAATGGCTGATTTGCAGAGGGTTAATGCTCTCATCTCTCCACCCCTAACCCCCTAGTTAAAAGATGCTGTCTTTCCCTCGTAGTTTTTGGAAAGGTGTAAATTATAGCATCTTCTTGTATGAGGATAATCATCAGGAGGCTTAGCTGGTCTTTGGGAAAGCTACTCAGGGGCTTTGAGGAAGGCATTACTGTCACGTTTTTCCTGGAAGATGCCATCTAGCAAATTAAGGGAGAGACTGGGTGATGTGGAGAGCAAACTAGAATTTTTCTCAGAGTACTATTTCCTTAAAACTAAAGGCCAAGGCCATAGTTTTTTCCATATTCAACTTTTTACCTTAAGGACTCTCTTTCCTACCTCACGACAATGAAGATATTTTGATTGGGGTGGGGAGAAAGTGGGGAGGGTGGGGAGACTCAGAGCAGACATAAGTGAATAATTTGCATGTATTGATCTTCAGAGAACTGACTCCCTTACTTGCAGGGTCCTTAGTGTGCAGTACCAGGAGGAGGACTGATTATATGGGGATGTTGCAGGCCCTGGAATGCCTGTTCATATTTAATGTTTTCTCTCCATACTCTTCTTCAAACTACTGTTTCAACATTAGGGTACAATTCTTCAAAGATGACAGAGAATTGCTCCCTTAATTAAGTATGGATCTAGAATGGAGAGAATAATTTTGGAGAAATGCCAGAGATTATTTTCAATGTACACCATCCCCACTGTTCACCCTGTCTTAGGACATATGTTCCAGGGAGGAAATGTAGCTTAGAAATTAGCAAATTAAAGTTTTGAAAGAGCATTTTACTTTGTTGTCTCTGTATGCTGTATCTTTTCCAGATGGTACATCCCTAAAGAGATCTATATATTATCTGCATACTCGTTCTATTTTTAAATCCTTTGCTCTCAGCTACTTCATAACTGGGTGAACAGGCTTCCCCTTCTGAGTTTATGCTTTACAAAAAGAACTATAGCAAGGTCTCCAAAAAGCTTTTCTTTGGAACCACTTCTAGATGGGCATTTTTTAATTTTTTCTGTGTAATGAAACTACATTAGACCTCTTCCCACATCTTGTCTATCTGGTGTGATGCAAGGATCCTAGCTGTGGCTACTCAGAGTCAGACATAATGCTTAGATCTTCTAAAAATAACATCAAAAGATACCTTGATCTTTCTGAAAACAGTGAAGGTGTTAACCTCACTATCTCAGTCAAATCCCACCTCAACCAGTCAGATTCCATTGGACTTTCCAAAACCCACCGACAGTTGCAATCAGCTATGTTTTTTCTTCAGTTTTTGTCCTTAATAAGTAGAACTGAGCATGAACTCGGAGAAAATCTGCATGCTAGCTCCATTGCTGACCTCAGTGATCCATTTAACCTTGATGTGCCTCTTTTTTCTTATCTGCAAAATGAGTAAAAAATAGAAGGCCTA